GGTGAGTTCGCAAATATTATTTGAAAATGCAAAATATATTTTGGCATTTATTTGATAGTTTTCTCCCTCTTCGAACCCACGCCTTCCTTCTGAAACATTATTTTTCCTTTATTATCACAGAGATTTCTTTGAACTTCTCTATGTTGCTCATTCGACCGGCCTGTGATAAAAGATCAATTGTTTATTTATTTCTTGTGAGTAAAAGTGAATTGTAAATAAAAGGAAGAACATCAGGAGTCACTCAGTATTCCATCGGGATGCGCCACGTGTTTTAGTTCCACTCAAGACCGTGGCGATTTCTGAATTCTATACTGCCCCAAAATAATCAGCAGGGCCACCTTTGTAGAGACCAGTGTCCTTATTTTCCCGGACGGTCCAATACCAAGCTACCGGGCACAGAAGGGTGGAAGGTCCGGATTGCCTGAGTGGGAGTCGATCCGAGAAAGGAGTCAGTCTTTACGTTAAAGGATTAGGTTGATCCTCTTTTTCTGCCTTCAAAGGAGTCGTTCATTCTCCTATGCATCTGATCAGTATCAAACTCTGTTCAGGGACATGACGGGGTCTTACCCTAGCACACCTGGCAAGAATAACTGGTTGTGAACAAACTGGGGGCATTCGGAATTACTTCAACGTTGGCATTTTCCGGCTGCGGCTGTAGAAGTGAGAGTTGCGAAGTGTTTACGAAGGCTACAGAGTAGGTTGACCAGCGAAGATGGGTTTACCGACGCCCATTACTCCACTCTTTTTACCTTGATTTCCGAATCTACAAGCTAACATGTGTAAGTGACCATCTCATAGCGAGGAACAGATCCAGCTGGGGTACGTCCTGCCGTTCAAGGAAAACTTCTGCAAAATACACGCCTCTCCTCAAAATTCCCTCCTCTCTACGACCCCCTTCACCATTATCCATCCTGCCCACCTTCTTTCTGTTTTTTTCCAACTTCTCACCACTTTTCCGGAGCTTTTTTTTTCTATAAGAACACATTTTCACCAAAAAACTGCCATTGGGTGGGGAACCCCAACCCACCTAGGTCCAACAAGCCGCTGGTTTCATAATCGGTGGTTCGGTTTATTCAAGGCTACCACGAAGGCCTCTAAACAACTGGAGGCTAGCTGGCTTTCGACAGACGGGGTGGACGATTCTGAATCTGGTAGGCCCGCAATTATTGTAAGGGTAGATCTGGTGCACATACCACACCGCAGTGGGGGACAAGGCTGGGCAATTACGATCCCCTCAAATTTCCCCGTACGATATAATTTTTTTCCCCTCTCACCATTTCGGGGAGAGGGTTAGGGTTTATATGCAGTTAACGTTGTCAGAATCAGTTGGGATGGTGCCAGATGGGGATGGTGCCAGATGGGGTGGGATGAAAGGAAAAATTCTTACTAGGCCGATCACGACCCTCTTCCTTAGCGACGAAATATGGACCCTCGATGGGTCTTGCCACACCAATGCTGTAACGTTGCGCAGAATGGAAATACGGAGAACACAAAGGGCATCCCAGATAGGTTAGGCCTAGCCAATATCACCGCACTTGCTCGTTATACGGTCCAAGATAGGCCTTGACAAACCCTGAGCCGAGGCTTTCCTGGAAAAGCATTAAGCCCTTCCAGGAGCTTCACTCTTCGTTAGATTCTATGGATTTCTCCTTCATCAGCATCCTTTCTCCTTTCCTTCTGTCTTCCCTTTCGTTTATATTGAACTGAACTTACTATGATGTGCTGCAAAATCTACAGTAATCTTGAAAAATACTCCCCCCATAATGCAATGTCTGTGAAATTCCGAGACGATAGGGCTTTATTCAGGCGTTTGTATGGCTGGTGTGGTGGTAATATTCGCGGACTCGTTACGAGCACGAGCGTTTGTCGTCGATCAGCTGTTTGTTTTCTTGCTGCCAAAGCTGATTCCGCTCGGAGGATTTTTCCAGGTGGAGACACAACGAACACACATCATAATAAGCATTCAAAGGCAATCTTCTGGGTCTTAATAGACTAAGATGATTGCAGACAGACGAGTATGTTGAAGCGGGAAATTTTTAATGGTTTTTTCAGATGCTCTCTGTCTACATCACTGTATTGGCCGCTTTTGATTGCTACATCTCCGTACTACGGTAAGGTTGCACTTGTAGTAATTCTTTTTTGTTTTCCCTCGAATATTCATGAGCAGCTGCTTTTGAAAAAATCAGGCGGCTGAAATTGGCAACACCACGTGTGCAGCTAATGGGAATTGCGGCGAGTTAGCGTCACCGACTTACAGTCTTGTTTTGTTAGCTGCGATGCAAGCGGGCGTCCTGTTCAATGAGAGTGGTTCAGCACAACACAATATTCCCAGCAGTTGTTGAATACGGTAGCGTAGCGGTTAGAGATCGAACGAGTAACCAAACACATGGACAGGCCTCTTCTTTGCCGGAAGAAAAAAACGAGAGTAAACGAGTTGGCGCGCTCGGCAACCCATCGCCCCTTGCCCACGCCCATCATCGTAGCGAAACAGCAACGTAATTAATGGCTGTTCAAGCGTCAGATCATGGCCCATTATTCGAGACACTCCGAGAAACAATACGAGTTGCAGCCAAATCTAAACATAGGTTATCCATGCAAGGACACTATTGCCCACCACGCCTTATATTATATCAAGGTCATCAAATTGCAAAAAACGGGAAAGCTTTTATTCAAAGTTAAACAGAACAAGGAAACAGATGAAGTAATATTTTGGTAATTATAGCATGTTAAGTGGAATTCTTCCGTTTATCGATGACCCGCTCCAGCGGCCCGCGAAGCGTTTGACCACTGGGAACGTCGTTTATCTAACAAGTAAGAGTAAAATTGCTCTTGAATGCAGTTTCGGCGAAGACAAAACACCGTAGCGTTTGTCGTTGGACAGTACTTTCGACTGACCAAAACAGGTTCAGTTGCACTGCTCTAGGTCCGACGAATGAGGCTCTGATTGAGCCCAGCTTTTAGTACATATTGCTTGACCACTGCCCAATAATACGGTCCCTCGGAGCCTGGCACTGTGACGAGCAATGTGGCTTACTGTGTACAATCGTTATCCCTGAGCCAAAGTAGGCGTGGCATCTGAACATCGCACGGAACTGGTCACTTGTGGGATATTCCAGTCTGGGACAACTGTCATCTTGTTCTGTGTTGGACAGAGACACGACAACAATTGTGTCAAGCTGAAAATATCTCACCAGAAGCATGGACACCTTCAGATTAAGTTGAAATATTTGGCCACGCCTACCCGATCTCAGGGATTTCGAGGTAGTTATACTCAAGATCCCTGAGATCGGATAGGCGGGGCTGAATTCTTCAACCTAACCTGAAGATGTCTAGGAGGGAATATTTACTCTGACACAACTGTTGTCTTTCCTGTCCAATACAGAACAAGATGACAGTTGTCCCAGATTGGAATATTCCACGAGTAACCAGTTCCGTGCCATGTTCAAATGCCACGCCTACTCTGGCTCAGGGATAAGGAGTGCATGTAGTACCAACCATTTCTCACCAGGAAAGGGGTGGTTGGTCGAAGTGAACGTTTGAAATGAGATGTATCACTGCCCGATGGGCCCTTGGACGCTGATTACAAATCTGCCCTCCATATCTGCTAAACGACTTCCCTGGGCAAAGTTATGCAGGAATTTTGACCAGGTCACAACCATTTCCAGCATGTATGTGAGGCACACCAAAACCCCCAAAAATTGAAATCCGGAATTGGAGGTGTTCTGGTGCTCTAGAAATTAACACTGCAGTCATTTTTCGTAAAAATATCTTGTTCGTATTCTGGAGGGGCAAGGTGTGAGGGAGCGGCATCGTCCTTAGCAAGCGTTCTTACCCCGAACAAGTGTAATATTCGCGTTCTGGGGCTCTAATTGAGCCCTAGAGGCAAGTTTTTAACGAAATATCGACCTATTCTCGATACAGTGGTATATGGGCCAAACAAATCCTTATGTGGTCCGCTGCGCGACTATGCCGATTAAAATCTCTATGAGCAATGGAGCTTTCCCGCTGAATCTCAGTCATTGTTCGTTACCGACGCCCTGGTCACAAACATGACATTCACTTCTGGCTTCCATGCCATTTGGAATCAGTTTGGTGGCACAACACAACGTAACGAATAATGCCGCCGAAACCAACAATCAAGGGTATCCTTCAGGAGTGTTCCAGAATGGCTCCATTCCTTCATAAACAACATTTCTGGTAATATCAGGTCTCCTAACCCGCAAAAGTGCTTTTAGGATTGCAGGGAGCATTATTGAGAAGATGCAAAACGACATATTAACGAAGGATCCGGAACCCCCGACCTTGAACACATAAGGCGGATCGCTTCTCCGCTGCACGAGGCACGTGTACAATGAGCCTCACCATTAATTTAATCACTCGCTAAGCATCGGTGGTCCAGCAGTGGGTCTGCTCAACAAGCCTCCATAATTCCTGCGCTCAGGAGAATCGCTGAGCAAGATTTGGGGGGCAGATTTGAAAATCAGTGTTGAAAGACGCATCAGCCGGTTATACATCTCATTTCTAATGGCCACTTCGACCAACCATCCATTCCTGGTCAGTTATATTGTCGAGGAACAGCAAAAAAAACCGACGGTGACGGTTCATTCTATGTATGGAGCCGCCTGAAAGCCACAGGGCAGGACTCTATGGATTGCATGATCATCCGCTTGGGCCCACGTAACCCCTGATGACTGAATTCGGGTGGCTTCTCATCTGTATTCATACAAAATACGCCTGTGAATTGAGGCCCAGAGCACGGGAACACCCATCTTTCATCAAGGGCCGGGGTGCGTTTTCCACAGCCGTGAATGACGCTTTAGGTGGTGAGCTTCGCTGCAACAGGCATAAAATGGGTACTGCATCCCTGCTACTACAAGAAAATTAGGTACCCATACACACACCGCCTTGACCACCTTGAATTTTTTCGGACATAACTCGGCTACGATCTGCCCAGCAGAAGACGTAGGTCTCGCTAGTTGAAATGTACTGAAGAGCCAGACATGAAAAAGACTCCAATGCAGAAGAAATCAATAATCCATCCACATTTCAGTGGTCCGGTAGCGCTTGATTCACGGTCAACGTGGGCACCACGGGTGTTGGCCTGCGTTGCCATCAGCGCTCGCTGCTATAATGTTGTACAGTTTGGGGAACTACAGGTAAGCAACTACACTGTACGAATTTTTTTTTGGAATTTCCATCGAATAGTGTCTCCATCGATTTTCAGGCTCGCGAGTGCTTACTTGCCGATAATTATACCATATACGAGCTTTGTCCTACTGAACTACGTCTTAGCGAAGTCTATGTAGTTGTATATAAGTGAGTTAATTATACATATGGTTTTTAACAAAGCAATCAGTCGGAGCCTGTGTGAGGAGGGCGGGATTAGCCCACCTCCGGCTGCGTTGGTGCGCCAATGGCGATCGCTTCGTGGTCTGTTTGAGAAGAAAACACCACCAGTGATGAAAGGCCACCCCATGTGGGGTAGGTTCATACCTCATTGACTGCGATTCGACTGATTGCGGTGATATCAACTATAATTACTACCTTTTTTCTATTTTTTGAGTTATAATTTATATATCAATTTCAGAGGATATATGTATACATTATCGATGGCTTTTATTCCATTCATTCTATTAACTATTCTGACATTTGGCATCGTCTACCTTCTCCGAATGAAACATGTAAAATCCGAAAAGGTCATATGTGAATGTAAGTTTTTTTTCAGTTCGAGTTTATTTTTGTTATTTTGTTTACTCCTGTAGAATTTCGGTTTCACATAGTTTTCATAAAAGTTGGTGATCTGGAATTCGTTATTGTGGTCCCTGTGGTAAAATATCCGCGTACGACGGCCCGAGCTTAGAATACGCAATAAGTGCTTATGGTTGAGCCTCGCTCATGATTTCAGCTAGGAATAGTTGATGTGATTACATGGGGGCGGGGCACCCACAAACTTGGGGTGCTATCGCGCTTTGTCCATACCACTGACTTTAAAGCTGGTTAGCGTTACCTATTAAGTTGACATAAATAGAAGAGCCAAATTTGCACTTTGCGATCAGCGGAGAAGCCCGGCTTCACATAAGGCGTGAGCACAAAACTCATAGCACGCTAGGGATCCCAGCGAGGGAGGTCGTATTTGGTGTTGTAGGGAGGATGGGTGTTTGGCGTAGAGCTTTTCGGCTCTTCAACTTAGGCCCTTGTTCTGCTTTTCAAACAATTTTCCTCAACGGGCGCGAAGTGCCAAAGAATAGGCGCGGTCCCCGCCTCCGCCTCACCAGGGGGGGCGCGGACCGCGCTATCGTTGTTTAACTTACATTTGTTACGAGTGAAACATAACCGTACCATGTCCCGTGAAAGACCTAATCTCGATCATGAGGGGTTAATACAGCAGCTACTACCGTTGAAATGTGAAGTACTATTTGTAAACAAAAAAAAATTGTACTCACCCTTGGATGACCCGTTTTTCAAAGCGTTTGGTCACATTTATCGCATGGCGGCCTAGGACCCCCACACCGCCCCAGAGAACCACAAGTTCGACTATGAAAGCAAAATCTGACACCTGCGTTCACATCTGCCACTGCCGAAATGAATTGTGGCCAGTTTACCTCGACCGAAGACAGCTCCACGAAATCTCCCACAAGGCGAAAAACTTTCCGGGGCTCTTCGTCTTGGAGGGGGCGTTAACACTTTTGCTGGGCCTTTCGGTCATTTCATATCATTTGACAGGTCTCACTTTAGTGAGGCCTGTGAACTCTTGCGAACAGGGTACCATCGTGATATGGTGAATGGTGGCCTCAATACGATCCCCACCAGCTAGAGGGAGGGTCTCGGTACGACTTTCCCTACCAGTTCCCAGGCTCCTACCCGTTTTTCACCCGGAAATTTTCCATCAAGGGTTCCCAACGCGGCAAATTTCTCTCAAAGCCCATACGACCTCCCTTCTCCCAACGACGATCAAATACGACCCCCCCCCTACCCAGCGGCCAAGTACGACCTCCCACGTGTTTCACACAAAGATGTGCTGTACTCTGTCTGTGAAACTGCGCGAGTTTGCGAGTGCAGCCACTCTGTACAGAATTAAAAGCGTCCTGAACATGCTTAAAGACAGCCCCGCGACAAAAGTGTCAGAGATAATTGCTGATCAATTATGAAACAGTAGCTGATAAGTAATTCCTCAGTGAAGGAAAAGAGCAAGAATTGTCCTCAAGAACACCATAAACCACATTGCTCCCTTACGTTACACCGCCCTCTGTCGATGGGCAACCCCTGGCTCACAAATCGCTTTATGGCAACTCCCGTAGTGGCAACATTCAATTCAAAGAAAAGAATATGAAAAACAACAAAGACACGAAACGAAAAACACCTAAAAAAAAGAAAAATTCAAAACCAAAGCGTACCGAATTTGACGGATTACATGCAAGGTGTCGCGGCTTTTGGTGCATTCGGGTCGACTTTTGCACCACAGAAAGTTACAATTCATTCGTGAATTTTACGCGTTGCCTCACGAGATGGTCTGCCGTTTGACGTCTATGTGCTGAAAGTGTAATGAAGAGAGCAGAGATTAATTGTACGCCGCCAAACGACCGCCAGTCAGCAAAAAGTACATGTAGTTCCGATTGATGCCCGCCGTCCCAACACAGAACAACTGAGCGGCTCTCCGCCACAGGGCATCTACAAGTGGGCGGTCCAACTGGGCGGGCGTTGAATAGAACTTTGAGCGGCTGTAGCTCGCTCATCGCTCACTGTGGAGTCGCGAGAGTGGGACAGTAGCTAGCTTGGGGGCTGAACTACCTGCACAGGAAGGACGATCATTGTAGTATTCGAGCGCGGGGGCTGTCTTCAGCTGGGTACTTTTGCCTCACAAAGTCAACCTGTCCCTGATTCTCGATGATTTTTACTCGAGTATCGAAGTGCGCAGGAGAGAATAATTAGTGCAGTGAGAGCCGCTGATCTACATTCCTACATGTTTGCGTATACTCCATCGTTTCCAACCGCACCAAAGATACCTAAAACCAAGTGTGCACGTGGCTTGAGTGGGGCGCATACTATTTCCGGGGTTTAGCTATTCATATACGTGATAACGCCCAAGACTACTCTGCTCAGAAAGCACTTATCGCGTGACTCTCCCATCGCCGAGGACCACTTAGAAAATCGGTTGAGTGAGCTCGCGTGGCATTCCATAAATGGCGTTTTTTTCGAGATGTCCGTGTTCAGGTGAAGAGAAGGAAGACCAGGGATCGCCGGTCGTACTTCTTCTGGTAATTGTGCTATTTCTCGCTTGTAATGTCACTTCACTATTGGTCAACGTGTTCGAAATGCTCAAAATGTAAGTTTTCAATGGTAACTTGATAGAAATCGAATCAAAATGAGTCTCTGGCCCATTCAGAGAACGCCTGAACGATTCCCAGGTCATATCTTAAAAAGGGGCTGACAAAGGGTACACTTACCACGCGGGTCAGGAGTTCAAGTCCCGGATGGGCCCTCGCCTAGAAGAACCACACTGTCTGCCCTCCGTGAACGATAAATTGGTAACAGACTTGTCTGGGACGATAATAAAACTGACCTGTATATCGGCTGACTGAATGGAAGTAGAATGCGTGACGCATCCTAAGAAGGGATTGAACAACGGCTAAGACTTCATCTTTTCATCCTTTCATCTTGAGGAAGCCCTCGGCGCGTTTGTGTGAACGTGCGTTTTGGCGCGGCGCCAGCCCCCCCCCCCAGCTATCGTTACCACCAGGGCACATCGTTGCTGGGGATTCCCCAACACGGGGGTGCTCGCGTTTGGTCGCTGGGGGAGAGGGAGTCGTAGTCTTTGGGCTGAGGAAGGTTTTTTTGATTATCGACTTTTCTTGTTTCAGAGACGTTGTAAAAAGGGGAGGGGGTGGCGTATTTGCTCGTTGTTGAGAGAGAGGAGGGGGTTCCTCTTCTGACCTTATGAGAGAGGTTTGCTGAGTTTTTAAGGTTTTTTTCTGTTTCAGTATGTACTATACTTCCCCTTCTCCCCCTTCCCTTCATAGCAAAATTTTTCAGGTGGTAGGAAAATTCTTGGGAAATCACGGAAAAAGTGGTAGGAAGTTGGGGAAAATCTGGGAAATGGTGGAGAGGGGATCGTGTTTTCCTCGCAGTACTCCCCCGCTCGACAGCTCGATGAGGAGAGAACCAGGGGGGTCGTACCACAACGGTCTAAGCAAAAGGGGGAGAGCGATACGGACTCGACCAAAATCCTCACCATGATGTGCCCCGGTTGCCACTACATATGTGGCGGGCGGCCACTGATGAAAATAGGCTGGCGCTGCGCCAATACGTTTGTAACGCGTCCACCAGATCCTCTGATCAGTACTGCAGTTCGCGGCGGTTGCTGCAACGTGTCGGAGGGAACCCGTCCCC